TAAAAGGCTCATGAAAAATTGAGCACGTGAACAGTTAAGCGAGAACTTAATTAATAACTAATTGTACTCACCACCCAGGCCAATGGCAACTGCTAGGATTACTGCAAGGAATAAGCCACAAATATATGGAAAGTATTTTAGGGAGGCAAAAGCATGGCACATCGAAGGTGGCTCAATATCTCCTAGAAATCAAACAGAGAGAGCAGATTCTGTGAAGTTACACCAACTTCAGTTTGCAATGAAAAAGATTTATCTAACATTAAACTAGATGGCAGTAGTAACCCCTGCAAATACTTTGTGAGCTGACCTGACCCGAAGGTGTTCAGAGCTGAGGGGCTCAGGGGCTGAGAAGATTTCAACTGCTTTGGGGCTGGCTGGTGCTCTCAGACACCCCTTCAGCATTCCCCTGCTAAGGAGTCTGAATCATGCCCTTATAGAGCACCTGGCTTAAATACACATCAGTAGCAATTGCTGAATACATTTCATGAGCTGGACCAGTTCTGCTCTCCAGCCACTTCCACAGCAGAACTCATCTGGATGGTATTGTCAGTCTGGAAGACAACAACAGATTCCACTGAAAATAATGAATAGTTCACTTGTTTCAAATGTATTTGGTATGCAAAGGCCAAAGCATGGGAAAATAGTATATACAGCTCTGTCCTGGGTACACACAGGAACTGGCAGAACCTTCTCTTCAATTTCAGTTAATGCAGCTCTTCATTCCCTCATTCTTCAAGCTTTGAATTACAGATTAGCAGACACAATCAGTCAAGGCTGAGAAGTATCTCCCATCACTTATAGACTCACAAGTCAGTCCCAGCCAAAAGAGACTCTTTCAGAAGCAGCTGAGTAACTGGCTTTGGTAATAGAGTTGGTGTCTGGTATGCCAAAAATCTTAGACACTGCTAGTAGCTAATGGACTAGAAAAATTAAATTACTCTATATTCATCCTTGGTGCCCAGCCTGCCTCTGTTGAAGTTAATGGTTATTTTTGCCATGAAACCTATGGGAAGCAGCAAACACACATGATATTCCTCCAAGGCTGCTCTATTGTATATTCAGGTCTTTAATGGACACATTTTCAGGTTTGTAAAATTTCAAATAAGCCATTCAAAAATAGCTGAAAAGTACGGACAAATATTTGCTATATGGCTGAAGTGGGTGAATCAACCAGCTGTGAAAAATGCTTGCCTATACAAGCTGACATAAGATGTTATCACCTGTTAATGTGCTGGGAGACCTCACGGCTGGGGGCGTGAGGTTGTATTTCTTCATCCTCTAATGGATTGCTTTCTCTGACTGAGTGGGCAAGCATAGTTTTGCAAGGCTAAAGATCTACACTAGCCATTTAGTTTGCAAAGGTCAAAAAACTGTGCAGTATCCCTACCAGATCCATCTGCGCTGGGATCCACTTTTGCTTGTGGTATGAAGAAGAATCTTTTGAAGGAAAACTGAATTTCTGGTACTGGCGATATATCCTCTGTAATCGTGATGATTTCAAGACTTCCAGTAGTGGAATTTGTCTCTTGTACCTGGCTCAACTGGAGGGAGGGAAAATAAAAAGGAAGTTGATGACTGTAAAATCATACCATAGAACGATAGAATCATGGAGCAGTTTGGATTGTAAGAGGCCTCTAAAGGTCATCTTGTCCAAAACCCCCCTACAATGAATTGGGACATTTTCAGCTAGATGACGCTGCTCAGAGCCCAGTCCAACCTGACCTTGAGCATTTCCAGGGATGGGGCATCTACCACCTCTCTGGGCAACTTGTTCCAGCATTTCACCACCCTCATTGTAAAATACTTCTTCCTTATATCTAGTCCAAACCTACCCAATTTTAGCTTAAAAAACCCTGTTCTATTACAACAAGACCTGCTAAAAAGTCTGTCCCCGTCTTCTTATAGACTCCTTCTAAATACTGAAAGGCCTCTGTAAGGTCTCCCTGGAGTCTTCTCTTCTCCAGGCTTCACAACCCCAACTCTCTCAGCCTGTCTTCATAGGAGAGGGGTTCTAGCCCTCAGATCAGATTTGAGTCCCTCCTCTGGACCTGCTCCAACAGCTCCATGTCCTTGTGTTGGCAGCTCCAAAGCTGGACACAGTATGTTAAGCTATGTATTTAATGTTCATGAAAGGAGGTATCATAATGAATTTACCAGCAAACTACTGAAGTTAATTTTTGTTCAAATTTGTCTAAGCGCTATAGCTGCTTTTAATAACCCACACTGGTCCTGTGGATCCAACCCCTGCTCTTTACTGCAATACATGAGAAAGACTAAAAAGGCTATGACACCTGCACAGCACCTGGCAAAATCCACGTACAGGGGCACACTGAACTTTACTTTATGAAACCTTTAATCACTTTCCACACAGTGAAAAAAAAAATTAAAATGGGCTACACTAGAATTCAGGATAAATATATTTGAAATGCTAATTTCTGACTGTGGTTCTGCACCCTGTCACTGGCAAAAGGAATCAGATTTTTTAATTTACAGTGGTGTCAAATAGGTCCAGGTTTGATAAAGAAAAAGTAAGTGTTGCAGAGTCCGTCCCAGAAAACTGTTACAATGACACATTTTAGGCAAAGAATATGTGTTTTGTCTGTGACACTTCATCTTTAAGTCACCTGGAATATTTTTTCACCTTTCAGCAAACAACTGCAATAAGTTTTCTACTTTTTCATTTGATAAAACTTCATGTACACTCCAATGAATATAAATTAAATTTTATATAGGATCTGATAGCTTTAAGGCAGAGCAAAAAAACCAGCTTGTCGTTGTCCATCAGGAAACAAAACAGCATTGTGAAGTACACTAAACAGGACAGCTAAACACCATCGTGTTGTTTATTTAGAGGGTATTGCATGCTCCCGATGATTCACTCACCTCTTCCTGAGAAGTCATAGTTAAAAGCAAAGCTGTTTTCTTTCTTCATTATCAAAAGAAACCAAAAGGAAACTCTGAGGTTGCTAAGCCGTGTGGTCTGGAAACGTTTTCACCCAGCTGGCCGCAGCTGCCCGTTCATTCATCTGTTGCACAGGGCATTACGGCAGCAGCCTGTGTAATTCAACCTGGTGAGGGGTATCGGATAGCCCCGGATGGTATGGCTATGGAAAGGGGAAGATAAAAATTCAGCACGCTTTTTTAATTAGCCTAAGAGCATCAGGTAATATTTTAGTATTTGCAAGCCTCTCTGTAACCCCTCAGCAAAGGAGCAGCACACACTGCACGGTCTTGCGCTTGCTCGTCTTTTATCGCAAGTCGTGCAGCTGAGAAGTCTGCTGAGAGCTGTGGGTGGCAGAAGCCCCAGATGCTTTGTCTTTTCTGTACACCAGGCCCATAAGGTCACCTTACTCTTCTTTCTCTTCGTTTAGCCTTTGCTATGTGCTTGCAGCAAAGAGCACACTTAAAGAGTGTTTTTTTGAAAGACACCCATGCTTTAGTTATGGATAACATCTGTAATTAAATATTGCACAATATTATGCAAGTAGTTTGCAAGAAGTATCTCACCCATGAGATACTTGAAAATGAGTGAATGTCACTCATTTGGACTCTGGGATTTAGAAAAATAAAATGTAAGCTCAGCTTCATCAAATGTTTAAGAAACATAATTATTTGGCTTGTTTTGTTGTGAGTTTTTTTTACTAAGAAGAGAGATTGATGACAGGAGAGATGAAGCAAAAAGGCCACAGCAGTGTAAGTGAAACAAGGAACCTGAGAGGCCAAGAAATTAATTTTTTTCCATTATAAAGCCCATGTCCCTGGAACATGGTTGCAATGAGGGAAGCTGTTCAGACCTTTTGCTGTGCACAATGGAGACTGAAAATTCCAAAGGAGAGGATGACACATCACAATCCTTTTAACTGTTTACATCTTCTAAGCCATGACATCAAGACTTCTGCCACATTTTCAGCAGCCTTCCCTGGAAATGGGAAACACAGGGGGACATAAGCAGAAAAAAAACCACAAACAAAAACAAAAAACAACAGACAAAGATGTTTAAATAAAGCTACACTTCTTGAGTTCCTCATGGTGCTCTGATGCTCTCTCCACTGCCCCTCAGAGACAAACAGTTGGAGAAGCAGCCCAAACTGGCCAGGTGTCCCAGGGAAGCTCAACAGAAAGTGAGGGCTCATTTCATGAGACCAGCAGCTCTGATGGCCCTTTTGATCCATGGGATGACATGTCCTGTCCTGCCCCGGGAGTTGTGGTGCCTTCAGTGAGGACAATCCAGGCCAGAGAAAATTGTCTCCAACCATTTCTCCTACTCTGGCTGTGCTGGAAACCCTGTGGACAAGCCAGCGTAGCTCTGCAAAGGCTCCCATGGTGGGATTGGAACCACCAGGATGGACAGGCTTCTCCCTGCTGCCTTCCAAAGCTGCTCCAAGCCCAGACTCAGGGCATGATGGCTAGAAGGGACATTGGTTTTGACCCTGCACACGTTGGCCAGCTCATCTTCTTTGACTGAGAAGCCCAAAGCATGAACCATGTAAGATAGGGATGGGAGGACATGAAAATCAGGCCCAAAAGGAAAGAATCTGTCCTATAGACTAACTTCTTACATGCTCAGGACATCCCCAGTTGCCTCCCCCACACTGCAGTAGCAGCTCAGGTGAATTTCTAGGCATTCAGAAGACATTTTAAAATGATAGGCTAAAGGATCTCATCTCAAATCCTACAGCAAGTCCACCCTGATTGTGGTGCTTACCTTTGGACTACTAGTCTTGTTCGGCTGGGCCAGATGGGAAAAGTCTGCAGATAGATTTTGCTTTTTTAGCCAACCTAAACCAGAGATTCAGAGGTGCCGATACTACAAAAACAGGATGTCAGCTTTTGTCAGAAAAGATCACAAGAGGTTTGAGGGTTTGCTTTTCTTATATATTTTAGCTGTCTCTTTCTCTTTCTCTCTCATTTTCTTCCTCCCTGCCTCCCCCCCTCGCACTCTCCTCCCACCTCCTAGTTTCTGTCAGCCTCAGCACACGGCCGGGGGAAGAGTGGAGGAGATGGCAGTGGCTGAGACACAGCTGTACGCCAAGGTGGCCAACAAGCACAGGAGCAAAAGCCCATCTGTACTCCTCGAGTCCCTCCTCAACAAAGGATTCTCAGCTCATATCGCGTGAGTAATGTGTTCATCTGCCTATGCACAGTAAGAGGTGTTTAAGATACAAGGGGAATTTCTCGTGAGATCCTGACTTCAGGCTGCTTGCTTTATTCATCAAGAGAACATGTTGCTTCCCAGATGTCCCTATGCAGGGATCAGACCCATCTTGCTGTGAATTTCTTGTAAAGCAGAGTGTACTGCCCATATTGCAAAAGCAACCTGCTCTGTATCTGTTTTTTAAAAATCCTGTGTATTCCTGAAGACACATGCACTTCCAAGTCTTCAGTTTGAGATGCCTCACAATAAGAAGCTGATGTCCATACTTTGTTCTTGGGATATATCCTCTTTAATTTTTTCTGTTTATCACCATTATAAAGGAGTTGGGTGTGGATGTAACTTCTATCCAAAGGCCTGGCAAAGATCTCTTGCTGGATTTTGTTACTGAAAATAGTTTTGAAAGAGTAAGCTTTCCTTAACAAGATGCCACGTAAGTCTGTTAATTTTTATACCTGTCTTCAACTGGGATCTTGCTCCAAAAGCATTTTCTACCTGGAAAATATGATAGTAAAAGATGAGAAACTGTTCTTGGCAAGCCCAATGGATGAGAGATTAACTCAACAGAAAATAACTGTGGTGGTCACTTCTCTCCCAAATATTCCTCTGGTTGGACAAGGAAGTTTTGGGGAGGATTTTTCAGCTTCTGAAGGGCAAGTATGGACACTTCAGTTAAAAATGTTCAAAAAATAAATCTTTTCATTTGAATGTCAAAGAACCCCTCATAAAAATATTTTAGAAAGGAGAGGAATATCTCCTTCCTTTAACTGAAAATTAAGCAAGTTGAATGGGCACCATTCGTAAGTGCTGTGCTGCTTTTTTGGGAGCAGCAGTGTTTAGCAGATTGACTTTAGACATGATAGGCACAGCTAACAAAGAAATTCTGGGTCTCTTGTTCCCAGTTATACCTAGTTTTAACTGTTCAGCTGTAAACCTAGTTCATTGTTTCTCTAAGAATACTACAAGCCAGGTCATCTCAAAGTAATGGCTGTGTTTTGAAGTTTTTGTATAAGTGAGTCCCAAGGAGAGCCATGAAGATGACCACAGGGCAAGAGCAGATCTCCCATGAAGACAGGCTGAGAGAGCTATGGTTGTTCAACCTGGAGAAGAGCAGGCTCTGAGGGAACCTTAGAGTGGCCTTCCAGTACTTGAAGGAGGTCTACAAGAAAGGAGGGGAGGAACTTGTTACAAGGGTATGTTGTGACAGAACAAGAGTTAATGGCTTTTAACTGGAAGAGGATATATTTAGGCTAGACATTAGAAAGAAATTATTTACTGTGAAGGTGGTGAGAAACGGGAACTTGGTGATGTTTAGGTTCCCTTCCAACACACGCCATATGATTCTATGATTCTTCACATCCCCTTCAAAACACTTTCTGCTGTTACTGAGATGGCTTTGTGCTTCCCAGGTCAAAATCAAGAAGCAGTGGCAGAAGTACTATGTAAATTGACTTAAAATTACAAAATGCCCAGAAACACTTTTTTAAAAAAAAAAATTATTTTATTTTATTGACTTCAAGGCCTTCAAAATTTTGGTTGCATTTTTAGAAAACCTTTTAGATGTCTCTGTAGTTCCTGGATTGAACCGTAAATGAAAGTACTGAAAAGTTGTTTTCTTCGAGTTGTTATGGCCTGAGAAAAAAGAGGCTGGTGGAAATATTTCAAAATCTTTCATAACAGAGAACCAGCATCTCACAGCAACATTTCCCCAGAGCAAAAAACAAATATGTGGGGATCAGGATGAGAATCGGAACAACAAAATGGGCCTCCCTTGGTGCTTACACAGAACAGAACTGTGTCAGCAGTTTCTGCTTTAGAGAAGAGCCAGTTTATTCTCACTGTCAAGACACTATTTTTAATACAAATTTTCAATGGTTTATTCCTACTCTGTATATGAGAAAAACTAGTATATACAGAATTTATTCTACACATTTTCCTTCAATCGTTGCTGCTTTTGTTGGAAGAAAAGAATGTGTAGTCACAGCCTAATGCTCTCCTGGTGCTAAGAGCACCACAAAGCCTCTTGGGAAGCATCCTGCAGCCAACATATATGATGTTGGTGGAAAGGTGGAAACAGGCACAGAGAGAAGCACAAGGGAGCAAGAACATAATACTGAGTCAAATGATAGTCCATGGCTTCAGGTCTTGCTTGACTTACTACGTTCATGATTTTGCTGGCCCTATGGTAAAGACAAGCTTAGGGCAAGCTCAATTTGGCTTCAGGGCTGTTTGCACAGAGCTTTTCTCTAAGTGAGAGGAACAGCTTGGCATGAAGCAGTAAAATGCCCATTTTGAGGTGTTACAAGTGGTTGACAATGTCTGCATCATTGGCTGAGCAGTGACAGGCACAGACATTTCACCAGGATACAGCAGGAAGGGCTGCATGGGGAGAATGACAAAAACACTGGTTGTTTGTGTTTGACATGATGGAGAAGGGGGACCTAGCAGAGGTGTGGAAGGAAAATGTGCAGTATTTAGTCACAGAGGACACAGGCTAGTTTTAGACAATCTGGCTCATGGCTTTGCATTGGTTTAGCCATGGTAGTTGATTTACTTTACGGAGAAGAAAAGAAAGGTAGAAAGCAAAGCTTGAGTGCAAATGCTCATGTTAGCACTCATCCATGTTGAGTCCTCACTAAAAAGCCAGGCATGGTTGCTCATACACATAAGTAGCTTTAAATGTTTTTAACAAGCCAAAATATAGTTTTAGAACAAGAGAGAAGACATAAACCTAGGAGGAAGCAGCAAGGAGTAATCTGAGTCCTGCTGCTTCATGCAGTCATTGCACCGCTGGTGTGTGCTCAGGTGTCACAGGGAGGGATAGAGGATAAAAATGTGAGGAGACTAAATGAATCAATGCCCTCAGGATCCAGTGGCCAGAAAGGATGGCCTCAAAAAAAGAACAAAAAAGATGAGCAGATGACAAGTAATTTAGCAGGTTTTCCTCCATGACCATTATATCTACTTTCTCTTCATGTCTGTTCTGTGAAGTTTGTGGGTCGGTTACAGGGCTGGAAATAGGGTTAATGAGTGCAATTGCTACTTAAACACTGGGGAATCCTTCATCGCCTATTATTTAGTTATAAATACTTGCTAATGTGAAGCACATAATTGGAATTTTGAAAGCTGTGGTGAGAAAAGGAAATATGACTTAAATCTGATTGCAGAGAGTAAAAGTTGCATTAACAGAGAGAAATGTGAAATAGTCTCCTTCATCTTTGACTGAACTGGTGGTTCACATGTGTCTCTCTGCTGACCTATGGAAGATCCTCAATCCAGATTTTCATGCCCCAATATAATTAAGTTCTGCTTCATTTGTATGCATAGACTTAGGTCTGGCATCTTGAATCAGAACATTATTCTATGAACAAAACAAAACCTGCTCTTACAATGCTTGGACAGGTGGTTTACCCAATCCTAAGAAAATCCATATAGTCACTAGAGCTGATAGGGTAACACCTCCAGAACACAAAAGAGGACATCTTTTGGGGAGGACAGGTTACTAATCTTCAAAGAATTAAAAAATTGCAGTGGAAAAAACTATCTGGAGAGCTTCAAGAATGTCAATATTTGCCAGGAATAACCTAATTGTTAACAGTCCTACCTGTGTTGGAAAATAGACTTGGTGACCACAGCGTGTCTATTCTGTATTTCTAGCAGTTTTCTTTTTGGTATTTTGATGAATCCATTTTGGCTTTTTTTCTAGGCAAAAAGCCTTGGCTGCTACTGGACAAAAGACAATAGAAGATGCTGCAAAATGGTAAGTACCTATACTTTCTAAGGAGTGCTTTCACATTAAACCTGGCTAAAAATCCTCGTTCATGTGCCGATCCTGTCACTGCAGTTGAAGTTAGCTTAGGTAAATGTTAAAAAAAAAAATAAATCCGTCCCAAAAGAAAGGAGAAAACAAACAAGGAAAATGTGTGTACCCATGGCTGCAGTTCTAAACGCCTGCAGTAACAATGTGAGATTCCATGGCAATGCCTGAAGGAAAATAGTCTGTCTTCTTCCCTTGAGAAGGGCTCATCACAAAATAAGCTGAAAGGCTGATGCTCAGAGGGAGGCAACACTGGAGACAAAATCACTTGTTATTCTTGATCCCTACAAAATTTTTTCCTCTGTACCAGGACTCTCACAGAGTATTCATATGTAATTCATATGCTGACAATCGACTTTTTTTGCTTTAATCCACCTTCAAATGAATACTTTAATCTGGATTTTGTTGTGGAGTTTTTTGTCATTTTTTAGGGTTTTTTTGGTTGGTTGGTTGGTTTTTTTTGGGGGGGGTGTTGGTGAAAAGCCGGAGGATACATTTGAGAATGGTGTATTCTTCCCAAACATTTTTTTGTCAGGGATGTTACCATACTTTCTATCAGTCACTCCCAATCTGACAGCTGTGAAACCAAACAGCATGTGAAAAATAAGGCGAAGGATATCATCACTTGGACTACAAGTTTCTCATCTTTCCTTGTGCATTTTCTGATTTGTCTTGTTTGCTTTTATTAGGGCTGAATAGAAAGGCTAGCTATTTTTGAGTGGTTTTTTTTAAATCTTCAGTTAGTTTTCATTTTGTCATTCTTCAGAATTTTCTACCCACTGCTTCTTTTCCTTTGCCAGTCCTCTATTTCCAGTCCTGAGAAACATGGGAAAATAACTCAAAAAACTCTTAAAAATTCTTTTTCTCATCTTTGTTTTTCAAGCATTGAAAGAAGTGAAGGCACACAGTAAACACATACAAAAAGCAAGAATATAACCCCACCATTCTCTGTTAATACTTTCAGGATAAAATTTGTAAAGAGCTTTTATCTTAGGTTTTCATTTGTAAGAGCATAACAACCTTCTATTTCCTCCACGATACGCTCTTGACTCCAGGTTGCACTCCCACTGCAATGATCCCTCTTTGGATGACCCCATCCCTCAGGAATATGCACTTTACTTGTGTCCCACCGGCCACTTGTATAACCACCTGCAAGAGTTTTGGAAGGAGAGCAAGCGCCAGTGTGGGAAAAACAGAGCCCATGAGATTTTTCCTCACATCACTCTCTGTGACTTCTTCACGGTAAGGCACAAAAGATGTGCAAGGGTCAAATATCAGCTACTGGTAAAATTGGGCCACTTGCCATTGTTTTACACCAGAAGTTCTCCTTGGCAATCAAACTGACATGAATCAGGTCCAGACATGCTAGTTTCATATCTGAGTGCTCGACACCTGCGTAGGCATTGTGGATTTTCTTCCCACCACCTGCTTTAGGTACCCACCTCAGGCCTCAGCATACCTAAAAATTGGATGCTGGGGCCAGTGGGATGGTTTGGTGTAGCTGAGTGACACTTGCCCAGTATCCAGCTAGGGCAACTGTACACAGTCCAGGCTACACATGGATCTGCCAGCAGGAAGCACTGCTCCCCACACACAGCTATCAGCAGGCTTCAGAGACCAAGCCCATGGCTGCATCCATATAAGGTGTTAAACCTTCCTGGCCAGGGCAGCAGCAGCTGCCTTTAGCCAGATGTGCAGTGGTGATAGAGTTATCATAGGATGCAGAAAACTTTGGTATTATACCTATGGGAATCTCAGGGAAACCCCCTGCCTTCCCCAGAGAGCCTCAACCAGAAGGTCATTGCTAAGGTGGTGTGGCCCAGTTTTTACCTTTTCTGTTGAAGCTTGGAAGTTTTGAAAAGACAGAAGCAGAACACACACGGATGGAAGGAGCAAGGGGAGACAGACTGGAGTCTGACAGTGCAACTGAGTCACTTTGTCAATAATTTCACATGGAAGATGGATTCTTGAGCTGGACTCCTGGTGGGCTGTTTTCTGGCCCTACAGATGCTACTCTCCCCCTAGGCAGCCTTCTGAATGCTCAGTAACCCTCTAATGAACTTCCTAGGAGAGCTGCTTCTCCTGCATAGGTGAATGTGCCAGCATCAGCAAAGGCCAGAAAAGAGTCACTAGTCTGGAAAAACTCTGTAGCCACCTGGAATTTCATTTTCGCATGTTGATGGCACAGCACATGAACATCAGCTGCAGCTGAAGTGCACTGAAACATTCTGTTAATCATACTTTTACACTAAAGCATGCCTACGTATAGACAGTGAGAATAGAAGTGGTTTTTTGCAAAATATTGAATGGTACCTGTGGTCATTAATCTCAATTACAAAGAACAAAAATCATTAATTAATAATGAATACTGCGCTTTTGAAAGGCAGAAGAGATAGCTGAATTGCAACCCTCGCCTTGCACATCTCAGCCCTGTTTCAGGTAGCATATTTCTAGGGACAAATGCAACAGCCAGTGTTGCTCTCTGCTCCTTGGCTGTCAGCATGAACTGACCTGGGCACCTCATGGGCAGAAAGGGAGACTCACCGACCTGCTTTCCTCCTCCTTCTCCCAACCCAGCTCTCCCCCATTTTCTGACTCCCCAACATCTTTTGCAGCTCCCAGACTTGTTGACCACAGAGGAGCCTGCTGCATGGCACATACCCTGGTGCGGGGCCTCCATCTCTCCCTGTGCCCCCACAGCCCAGTCTTCCCAGTGCCCCCTTGGTGCAACTCTCCTCCCTGTGGCCTGAGAAATGCTCAAAGCTGAAAGATGGTGTTAACAGGAGGAGCTCTTTTCTTCTCTTCTGCTTTTCCCTTCTCTTCTGGTCTTCCCTTTCAATAGCTTCACCCAGAGTGAAGGCTAAATGGAGCAAATAGCTCTGCAGAGGAGAGCAAAGAAGCACAGAAATGGAGCATCATTGATGTACCTGTCTTTGGCTGGACAGCATAAATTCCAACTTTGTCTCTTCTCTTCTTAAGTTGCTTGTCCCTTTTTTTGTGGCACTACAGCTCTGTACAGTCTTTTAATTTGCTGTGATTAGAGCATGAAGGATAATAATGATGGAGGTGCCTTATGAACTTCGCTAGGTATGTTGGTCAGTATCTGATATTTGGAAGTTTTAGCAGGAGCGATTTCAGCAGAAGACTGTAGGATAACAATAACACAAATTCTTACTTAGAATTAAAATGGGAAATAATGATCCATGCCTCATTTCAGACAGGTTATGGCACATCTGTCAGATGGTACAGTCTTTTGCCTCTTTCCTACCCAGGCTAGATACACCTCCTGATAACAGGCTTCATCTGTGCTAAACAAACTGCCCAATATTACTGATTTTAATACCAGGAATTTCAGGCAAGTTTCTAATTATGTTGTCTTTCTCCACATTGTTTTCTGGTGCTGCTGTATAACACAGGCTGTGATAGTGGCTGTTGAGCTGGTGGGTAAAGCCTGTTCCTCCTCTGTTTTCTTTCAGTGTGAAGACCAGAAAGTGGAATTATTGTACGACGCCTTAAAGCGAGTCGGTGACAGCTTTTCACCGTGCTTTCCATCATCCATTTCCCTATCACTACATGCATCCACCAGCTACCTTGGCTTCTTCATTGCTGACAGCCATGCAAATATCCTCAAAGAGTTTGCTGTGGCATTCTCATCAGAGGCTTCGGCCCTGGCAGGTAAGACTAACGTCGGAGGGAAAATGGGTGGGTTGTAGCACAAATGCTTGGGCATGGTACTGAAAACATCTCTGGGGGAGTTTAGCTGATGTTTTACTGCCAGCACGCACCCTTTCTCTCTACAGATTTAAAACAATGTGTCTAGGGGACCACGTTTTAGATTTTGCAGGCACAGTGCTTTTGTCTAGAAGCTGAAATGGTTGCCTGTATGACTTGATAGGCCATTGATCAGGATAGCTGAGATGTGGAGGGTTATACTTCCTATTCCCAGACCTCCATTCCCAGGGTGCTATGGCCCATCCTGGTGGCCTGACTGCATCTCTGAGAAATAGGTCCCAATCCCTTCTCCAGTGACACACGAGTTAAACAGGGACACAGCCCCAGCACAGCCATGTCTTGGAGAAACGAGTTAATACATCTCAGACTGGGAGAGGAATTCAAGTCCTCTTAGTTTCTTTCCCCCAACTGAAGCCAGGAAGCAAATCCAGTCCAGATTTGTGAATTATTTTGGCATGATTAAACCCATTATGTTCTCCAAAACCATTATTCAGCAAAACTATGATCTACTCTACTAATAATTACTATGGTATTTCCTGCATCAGGCAAAGCATATAGGATAAACCAAGAAGAGCTTTGAAAGACCTTCACTTTTCTGTTGTGACATGACTGTTTTATTCCTAGATTGCCATGTGAAGCCTTGCCTAAAGCAGTTCCACCTTACCTTGGCTCACAAGTTTTATCCTCACCATCAGAAGACTTTGGAACAATTGGCCAAATGCATTAACCCAGGGGAGACCTGCCAGTGGGTTGCTGCTCTCTACTCACGGGACATGCGTTTTGTGCATTACCAGGTATTGTCATCAGATTTAATTTCCTGAGCCTATGATCAGACTTTTTGCTACAATCATCTCGGGTTTGTTTTTTTTCTTGAAGAAAATCTGTGCATGCACAGGACAGTGTTTCAAAAAAAGGATGGTAGTTTCAAGCACCTCTTCAGGTTAAATAACTGTACTCATGAATCAGTAGAATACATCTTCAGCAGGAAAAACCCTAATCTTACCATGATATAAATTAAAGAGACAGGAAATTATGATCTTTGAATATTTTCTAACATTCGTCAGATCAGCAGTAAAATTCAATTTGGCAAAATTAATTTTCTTGATTGTTCTAGCTATGATGAAAACTGCACAGCTTAAGTACCAGTGAGCAGGACACAGTTCTCACTGATGATTCTCACTGACTCTTTAGTTAAAACCAGAAAACATTTTCCCAGTTCTCATTTCCAAATTTAAATTATGGAATGATTAAATTTAAAATATGGAATGATTTTTTTATTCAGATCAGTACTTCACTTTGTCACAAGTCTCATTTTGGTCACACTCAGGAGAGCTGTGGGTAATCACAAAAAATAGCTGGTAATGCTTTTGCTATGTTTGCTTGTAAATGAGTCTGTACTAGTTATAGGGAGAAAAAGAGTATTTTTATTAAAAGCAGGTGCCTGTATTTACACAAATTGCAAATGCAGTAGCATCTTCCCTTTTCTCTGCTGAGGTGCCATGAAAAGGCATGATGTAGAGTGGTAAACAGTACTGATCGCTGCGTGTGGTGGAATCAAAGAAGTATTCCCTGAGCTGCTGCGGGATGTGCAGCAGTGGGGTCTGGTCAGCAGCCTGACCCTGCTGTGTGCTCCCCCCAGACCCTGCGGGCCCTCTTCCAGTACAAGCCCCAGAACATCGATGAACTCATGATCAACGCCGGGGACCTCATCTACGTTGACCCAACGCAGCAGTCTGACGTGAGCGAAGGGTGGGTGATTGGGACCTCGCATCGGACCGGCTGCAGGGGTTTTCTTCCTGAAAACTACACTGAGAGGGCCAACGAGTCAGACACGTGGGTTAAGCACAGGTACGTCGGGCTTTCGTGTCACGGGTGTTGCTTTATGTCAGCCACTTTCCCTGCTGGGGAGCAGTGGAGGCAGGAGGTGGAGACAGCATTTGTGGAGGAGAGAGGGGTGCTGGGGGTCTGGGTGGGATGCTGAGACTTCTGGGAGAAAAGACAGGATACACACCCACAGACACCCAGAGTTCATTAGTTCAGCTGCTCAAGGGATGACCTCTGTTTGCTCCTGAACAACCCGAACATCCTAATTAATTTTAAAAGACCATGTTCTGCCTGGTAGATGAACCTTCAGCCTGGATCGTTTGCTTCTTTTTTCTCATTTCAAGACCTTGCAAAGTTCGCTTGAAATCAAACCATGCAAAGGTTAGTCCACCACCTTGAGCCTGCCACCCTCATCTTGTTGATTTACCCTGTATCAGTGGGCATCTGTCTGGCTTCCTGCACTTTGCTCTGCAGCTGACAGTGTGGTTGATGCTACTTACAGATTAGAGCTGATTTTTCTAAGCAGGGAGGGATAAGTGCACTTCTTACTGAGTCCTCAGAGACAAAGAGCAGGCAACCAGGTTGTATATCCTGTTTGAAGATCACACTTCAGCAGGGTTACACCCAATATATGCCATCAGTTCATATTATTTTAGCTTCATTTTTCCTGGGCAGATGCTAAATCAATAATAAAGTGATGAATTGGATTGCATGAGGGTGCAAAAAAATACTGAATGGAATATAAATCCTTACATGTCTCCGTAGACAAAATAATGACTTAGAAAGCCCCTCTATTTGTGTGCACTCATAGGTTTGTGTGTATGTGTGCTACTTCTTTTTTTTTTTTTCTACAGGGAATATGTTTTTGCAACAGCTTCAAGATTCTTCACCCAAACTGAAAATGAACCTAATGTAAAGCTGCACAGAGAAATCCATAATCCTAGTATGTCCAGGAGTGTAACTAAAGTATTTTCTCTTCAGGTAATAATTTTTTTTACTTTTCTTATCTTTACCATGTGCTTGTGAGATATAGTATTAATTAAATGCATTCAGTAAATTTACTAGCATGTTCCTTTTTCTCCCTCACATTTTGACGTTATGTTGTAATGCACATATATACACACACACACACACACATATACACATGCTCATGTGCTTATACTGTATGGTATAGTATCTCATGATATTTTGTAACATACATGATGTATATATTACTCTTACTTTCTTTCATGAAATTCTTTTCATTCCTGTCATAATAGCACAACATATGAGCTCCCTGTCGAGGTTTCTCTGTGCACAGCCTTACTAGGCAAGCTGTGCAAAAGTACAGCAGCAAGTCTGACAAGTGAGACACAGGCACAACTTCCCCTGACTTTCATATGGGTTCATAGCAGAGAAACTAGAGTAGAATTAGGCTGATTTTTCGTTGTCACTTTTATGTGCAGATTCTGTAGATGTTGCCTTGGTGGTTTACGTGGTCCCGGATCTTAGCACATTGAAATGTTTCATCTTCTTTTATATTTTTAGGTAAATAATTAATGCAAATAATTGCATAGAACTGCAGCAAGAGAACAGCTACCTGAAAAGTTTAGCAGCACTGATGTGATTATATTTTTGTCCCAGTTTCAAAATCAACGTATTTTTTTCCCAGATTTTCTTCTGGTCTTCTGGTATGAAGAGCAAAAGAAAAAAGGACTCTCCATTTATATCTACAGCATAGTTTCACCTCTGCTGCCTTATAGGCTCTGCCTATCAGGGATGCCAAGATGGTCCTTTCAATCACTGATATGCTGCAGAAACCCCTTTGGACTTGCCAGCCCCGTGGCCTCTCTTCTCACCATGCTGGGTGATAACCCCAGGTTCATTGTGTTAACATCAGAGCAACCTGAGGGTACTTTGAGGGAACTTCCATCCTGGGGCCTCTCAGGACCCTGTCTGCATGACTGTAAGACAGAAACTTCTGCAGTAGTCACATACCCTTCCACCAGCTCTTGACTGCACTTAGCGTCTCTTATCTAGCTCAGATCTGCAGCAGAGCCACCACATGGCCTGAAAAACGTTTTACAAATGTGCAGATCTCCAGACTAGGAGTTTCCCAGGCCTTTGGTTTCCTCTGAAGCTGAAGAGCAAGATCACAAAATGCCAGTTTCAAACTCTGATCTTGTGGTGATTGATTCGTGTTTCATGGCAGAAATGCAATAGTGTTTAGATGAATACAGGAATATAAATTTCATAGCTCTTCTTAAGAACTCCCCTCTCTGCTGCTGAAGGTACACATCACTAACCACAGTGCTGCAGCAGTAACACTGTGATGGGTTACTGCTGAAAAAGTTTAAAAGCCTTTGACTGGTTCCACCTTATCTTTTCTTCTGTATTTTATGCTAACCCAAACTACTGTAATTTCACGCCTTCTGAGCACAAAAAGTGGCCTCAGAGGAGATCTGGGTTCACTGCTGATTTGGCCGCACAGTTATGAAAAATGTAAAAGCAGTGTTTTCATTAAGAAAAGAAGGATGAGCTTGATGTTAGTTCTGGTGTAGAAAAGGCATTATGACTTAAATCTTAACAAGTTTGCCTCTTCTGTTTCTACTGGCCTATAATATATATATCAAAATGATAATTCCTTCCCACACTCGAATCAAACGTTCTGTGATCAGCACTACCTTTCACTAGTCCAATCACAGAGTTAAAACCTAATCTGTAGCACATAAAGGTCAATGATCTCTTTCATTTGCCTTCAGTGGAGAGCCAGTCCATCTTACTGTTGTCCTAAAGATAGGCATCTTCTACCCTTCTGTTCTTGTTATAAACCTTCCAGGACTGGTCCTCTGTTCCTTCCTCCATCAGGCAGCATCCAGGAATCCAGATTTTTCATTCAAGTTTATATCATATGGTAATGAAAGCCTCTTTTTACTCAGCTGTCTCCGAGTGCCAC